TTGGTTGGCATGATGACACTGAGCACACTGGAGGTAAATGAAGCACGCTAGCAAAGGGTGAATATGAGAGCCAGGAGACTTTTACAACAGTTACTGTTTATGTCAAGACCCACGTGTCCCAGGGGACCCATTTTCACATAATCTATAATTATCTCTTCGCTTTAATCGCCTTGTCATTCCTGAGGCTCTCATGGGCACTGGAAGAGGAAAAGCTCATTAACTAAACCTTTTCTCCTCTCTCCAGCCACCCATGGCTTTTAATTGCTTGGTGTGTTATTATCTAGGAGTGCAACTGGAATCATTTTCATAAGAAAGGGAGGTAGAGAGAAGGAAGGCAACCATGAGTCCCTGAGGTATGCACCAAAGACAAACCTTTGCTTTCTCAATTATTTATGCCAGCTGAGGTTTTACAGGCTGAATAAATCCATAACTCAAGTTCATTCTGAGCAGTCAGATTCTCCAGGGGGAGTTGCCCACTTGCCTATACACACTTGTGTAGTCCTCAAAGAATAACCAGAATGTAACAAGACATATGTCATCCAATTTATCACCTATCACCAAGGTGTTAACACAATGTTGATCACAGGCAACATGGTGAAATAGGCAAGTATTACACCACCACCAGCAAAACAGATGGGGGGAAGCTTTTTGGTGCTAAAGGCACTAGTGTCATTAGGATAGTAGTGTCCCAGAATGACTTGGCCTGTTAAACACATAAAAAGCTGAATATTCATTTTTTAAAACACAAATATGTATAACACATACTCTGGAAGCTTAAGAATCTTTAAGCAGATTTGTTAAAAACAGGCTGCAATCTAACTGTGAAGTTTTGAATAAATAAATAGAATTTTATACCATCTGATTTTAGAAGTAATTTACAATAAAACTACATAAGTTACAGCTTTTTCTCCAATCATATCTCCTTCAGGAAAATTTTAGAGTATAATTTATGTGTGACAAGCTTTTATGCTACTTCCAAGCTAGTTCATATTTCACCAAGAATACAAAATTAAAGCATAAAAAAATCACTTTCATTCTAATTTTTTATACTTATATTCTTCCATTTATAATCAGGACTAGAGAGCAGCCAATGAAAAGATATCTGGGAAATATTTTCAAAATCCATTATTGTTTAAAAATGGAAACTTTATAAGTCAACGATGAAAGAATCTCTTTGAAATTCTGCAGGCTTTTGTGTCTGACCACAAGCAGCGACCTCTGGTATTTTCTGCCAAAACACTTCATTTGTCTCACAGAACAACTAATCAATTCCAGAGCCCATCAATCATTTCAGTTGTATACTAGGTCTGGTCTTGCTTAGAGAAGGTCCAGATGGCTGTCTGTGTAAGTGGAATTAATAAAATTCTAATAGATTACATGACATCAAACTACAAAATATAACAGGGAGGACCAAATCTTATTGTAGGGTGGTGTGGGTACTGTTCAATCTTCACTTACTGTATTTTTAATTCTTGCTCTAATTTCTCAGTTTATGTGCAAACTTCTAGATCAAATCTTTAAGGCATACAAGTAACCAGAGCAATTTCTTGTATATGTAGTGCAGAACCATTTCACTCTACAAACCCCTATGCTTATTAACCAGTGCTTTTTCTGCCCATCTGCAGTATAAATGAAAAACACAGCTGATGTCAAAACTAGAGGTAACTCCCTGTTGTAAGATTTGTTACTCTCTTGTTTCCACAGTTCTAAAAGCACTGGCTCGCCCTTCCTTGTATTCCATTTTCTTTTGCAAAAGCAAACAACTTGTATTTAATTATATAACCAGAATGCCATGATATTTTAGCTCCTAGCATTAGCTCCTAGCTCCTCTGTAGGTGCTTCCTCTGCTGAATTAAAATATTATAAAAACTAACAGTTACATAGTAGCTTATTTTATATCAGATCCTCTTCTAGGATGCCTGTGTATGCATTCACGTAATCTAAGTACCAAGTGAGACAAGTACTATAATTATCCCCATTTTACAGGTAAGTAACTGCCCAATATCACACAGCTGGTAAGTAATGGAACTAGCATTTGAATGTCAGCAGTTTGGATCCATAATTTTTTGTATTTAATTAGAATCAGCCTACTACACCCCCTCAATTATATTACAGAACAATTAACTAGCTTCAGAATGAGAACTGATGTCAGAGCTCTGTGAGATTAACAGAGAGATCTGAACCTCTGACATTATATTGATACTTTCTATGACAGGGTGAAAAGCAGAAAGCAAGCTCAGAATTGGCCCCATGGCCCTTGGCTCAAGAACATTTACCTTAAAACTAAAGCTCATAACTTATCATCTATTATATAACACACATTCATCAGAAAAGCTGCCACAACAATAGAACCCAAACTTAACCAAATGGATTTATTAGATACTGAATTGTCTAATCTTTACAAATGCAAAAAATCTGGAGTTTATAAAGTATCAAAACAAACCTTCAAAATACACTATTTTATGTCCTTTTTAAAAACGATGGTACTATAGAAAAAAATTTTTGCTTTTATCCAAGTCCACCATTTGATGCTTCTAAAATTCTAGAACCTAGTTACTTTCACCTCAGCTGAACATAATTCTCCCAAGAAATTGCAGTTGACATCAATTAAAGCACAACTTTCTCTTAAAAAAATAAGACACCAGACATTATATTTCACCAAAATACAAGCATGACTTGACGACATAACTTCAAAAAACAGACCATTTTCATTGTTGCAACTGCATTCTGATACTTAAGAAATCACAGGGGCTAGATCTGGCCCTTCACTGGAATAATCCAACATTTCAGTACATAACAATTTTCATTATGGCCTAATTTGTTACATTGGAATTCTATTACACTATAAAAAGAACTCTCTCAATACAAGAATATAATTAGTTGCTGTAATTTCTGATCTGCTGTAGCAGTAACAAAATTACTGTGTTTGTAATACTTAAAAGGCTTTCAGTGGCTTGTTCACATTGTTTCTTACTCTTTCTTAACAGTATGTTCAGAATATGAAGATTTAGATATCGTTAAGACTAATACTTAATGAAGACTTCATGAAAAAAAGGCCAAATCTAACCAGTTTTGCCCACAGCGAAGGTTCATATTTCATTCACTTAATAATATTTATTAAATATACTTTCATAAAAATGCCAAAAGTAGTAAGAAAATATTATTCAAAAGTGAAGATGCTGAGAAGCACAAATATTCACAATGTACTGTGTCATTACAGATTCAATAAAAGTGTGTTGAGCTGAATTAAAATCTCTAAAAAAAATAAACTATATTATTCTTTGTCATTGTTTATCACAGTCAAAATTCTAAATATTGATTTAAATCTAAGAGTCACTTCACTAGCAATTGGGTGGGGGATAAAGGAAGGAAGATTAACCCTTCCAACACAGTTTAACTCTTTAACTCTATCTCAGGATTTCTACTCTCACTGCAACTGGAGTACATTTGATTTGCTTCATGTTCTGTAAAGCTACTGCGATCAGTCATGTCATCAGCCATTCTAAAAGAAACTGTATTCAGTATGTCATTTTAAAAAATACTAGAGTCTGGGTAACCTTAAGGAAAATGGCACACGAAATAAAGATCATTATTATTTATAGATAAGTGATTGATATTGTTAGAAACTTAAGCTTAGTGATTTTTTTTTTTTTTAAAGGAAAGTTAAGAAACTATCTCAACTTATTTATCTAGCTAGGAAAGAAAAATAGCCTATACATTTTTTATTGCTTAAGGGAAAGGTGAGGATGGGCACATCACAGCGGAACCAAACCAGCAGTTCTCTGTTTTACCATAGGGTTATTAGGCTAATCCTATATAAGCAATAATCACTAAACTATCAGCTCTTTAAAAGAAGCAGCTGTAGCTACCTCCCAAGTTCTGAGCACTTTCACTGAACATCTACTAAGTTTGGGGGTTTTCCTCAGATAGTGAGGATGCAGAGATGGGTAAAATATGATCCTCACTCTCAAAAACTAAAAGCTAAAATATTTCTAAGTGTACAGTTCAGTAGTGTTAAGTATATTCACACTGTTGTGTAATCTCCATAACTTTATCATCTTGCAAAACTGAAACTCTGTCCCTATTAAACAAATTCCCATTTCCCCTACCCGCTAGCTCCTGGCAACCATCATTTTACTCTCTCTCTGATTTTTGACTACTTTCTGTTTCTATGAGTTTGACTACTCTAAATACCTCATGTAAGTATAATCACTAAGTGTGTTCTTGTGACTCCTTATTTCAGTTAGCATAATGTCCTCAAGGTCCAAAATTTCCTTCCTTTTTAAGGCTGAATAATATTCCATTGCATATACTACATTTTGTTTATACATTCATCTGTCAACAGATGATTCCACCTATTGGCTACTGTACAGAGTGCTGCTATGAACATGGGTGTGCAAATATGTCTTTGAGATTCTGCTTTGTTTTGGATACATTCCCAGAAGCAGAATTGGTGGATCATATGGTAATTCTATTTTAACTTTCCGAGGAAACTTCAGTTTTCCACAGTGGCTATATCATTTTATATTCCAAAATAACTATTAATTTGGAGCAAATTAACTTTTAATTAAATTATAAAAATTAAAATCTGTAAAAGAAATAGTATTTTGAGGAAAATTAACACAAAAATCCTTAGCTTTAGATTGAGACACAAAATCTTGCCCTGCCAACTACTTATGTAGGGAAAAATCGCTGAATGAGACAGTTATTATTAGACACTGATGAAAAGCAATTATCATCACTTATTCACGCACTTATCTGGCACTGATTCAGGCATTTAATTGATTTTAAAGATTATACACCTAAAAAATTATTTCCTGTCATTTATTGTCCTGCTGCAAATACCACCAAATCAGTTTCATGTTAAGAAAGAATGCTTCACAAATTGAAGATTTCAAAATTAAAAATATATAGTACATATATACATAAGCGCATGCAAACACACATACACACATACATGCATATATATTCCAATTATCAAAGATCAGAAGACAAATTACCTGATGGTTTCTTCATGATATAGAGAGCTAATAACTGGCCCACCAAAACCAGTATTTCTTTCTTTTCCTTTCTTCTCTGGTACCTGTGGGAAGGGGGAAAAAAAAAAAAAGTGAAAAAAAAGACAAATGGGTTAAAACAATGTGTATTTAAATCAGTTACAAAATGTCATTTTGCCAAGAAAGACTAAGAATTTTACCCTCAACCATTTCTTCAAACCCTAGTAAAAATTTTACGGTGGTAACAGAAAGGCAAAAGGACTCAGGTCATCACAGGAGGGGAATGGGTACCTGCTGGCAATCTAAGGTATTCCAGTACAACCTTCTGGAGCCACCAAAAAAACAATTCTTCTAGCAAAATCATATCTAGGTTTATAAAATTAAAGTTCCCAAATAAGAAATAAGCTACATTATAGTAAAAGTTCAAACTGAATTATAAAGAAAATGTTTTTAGGTTTAAAAAAAGGAAGGAGAAAAGGTAGAAGACAGATAAAAAGGCGGTTTAGATCGCAAATAAAAGAAAAAAAGAAGCAAACTGCAAAGAAATACTTTCCAAACTCAAGGATTCAATGGGTCTTGCCCCTCTATGTTGGTCTCAAAACACAAGAATAACATTAATTTAGTAATAAGATTCTTCTAAAACATGTAATGTGGAAGCAATGAACCTGGATAATACTGTCTATAGGGATCAAAGTGCAACCTCTGCAAAATCCCATGCATTGACAGCTTTTAGGCCAGGACATCCTGCAAAAATCAAAACTCCCTGTTATTAATAGTTTCCTCTTATACATGCATAGATTAGTATTCAGTCAAAGGACCCCTCTGCAGATCTCTGCAACTGCTAATAAAGGATCATCCTCTCTGGTATTCAGCCCTGCAAATTCTAGTTCAAATTGGTGAGGCTGCCAGGCCATTTTGGGTTCCCCTTCCTTGCAGCCTGGAAAATGGTGCCAGGTAATAAACAGAGGCAACTGTAAGGCACAGCCTGTTTGTTTCCCTGATTTTGTAACTTTACGCTGCTTATAATACAATCTCTGAAAATTACTGTTTTATCTGTAATTTTAGCCATGCATCTGGTTTTCTTCTTGTTTTTGGCAAAAGGGTAAATCCCGTCCCTATTACTCCACCATTCCCAGGAACAGAAGTCCTATAAACATTAACTTTAAACCCAGCATAATAGTCTTTGTACTAACGTAACATAATTTGCTTAAGCATTATCTGACAGTTGTATATTAAGCTATTTTCACTTTTTCACTCATAAACAGACATAATGAATATCTTTAAGTATAAGAAATAAAGCCAGGCACAGTGGCTCACACCTGTAATCCCAGCACTTTGGGAGGCTGAGGCGGGCAGATCACCTGAGGTCAGGAGTTCAAGACCAGCCTGGCCAACATGGCAAAACTCTATCTCTACTAAAAATACAAAAATTATTTGTGCATGGTGGCAGACACCTGCAATCCAAGCTACTTGGAAGGCTGAGGCAGAAGAATTGCTTGAACCCAGAGGCAGAGGTTGCAGTGAGCTGAGATTGCACCACTGTACTCCAAACTGGGCGACAGAGCAAGATTCCATCTCTTAAAACAAAACAACAACAACAACAACAAAAATAAGAAATAAAGTACTTTTAATTAAAATGTGTAGGAAAAACCTGTCCCCCCAAAATTTGATTATGATATATTCTAAATACATTCCCCTTTCCTGGGACTAGTTCCTCTTTCTAAAGCAACTCCACAAATACACGTTAGAATGCTGGTCAGAATGTTTTGTTGGCGGGGGAGGGGGGACTATAACTTAGGCAGAAATAATATTGTAAAAATAACCTGCCATTATCAGATTAAATCCAGAATAAGGATGCTAAAGATTCGTTAGTTTTCCTTTCCATCCACTTCATCGGCCAGAGCGGGTAAACTCTGGCTACTTTACCCTCTTCTACTCCAGTGAAATTTCTCTCATAGAGGCTTAGAAGTTTACTCCATTTCTCTCTACTCAAAATCCATTAAGTCATTTTTATGTTGCATCAGCAATTAAATAGAGTCCAATTTGGCAGCCAACAGGACAAAATTTGCCAGTTCTTACATTGCCTGAGACTCTATTAGTTGAAACACTAAAATGCTTCTTCACTCAAAAGGGAAAGGATAAGTTGTTGGCTAAATCTTTATCACTTGATTCAGACTCCACCTTAGTCAGTGTTTCAGAGTCAATATTTGAAACCGTGTGAAACTTTTTCTTCTATTTGTAAAAGTATTCCTAAGATTATTAGGCTAATCTATGCAAAGAGGTTTCTTGCTTCTGTGTGCTACCTTTTTTGGATTTGTTTTACTGGTTTGTTTAATCCGTTTGTAGTATAACTGTTGAACTCTGGGAAAATTAATCAACTTCTTTTCCTGAGTTTCCTCATTTGTAAAAATGGGAATCACTAACTATTTCATATGGTTGTTTTAAGGACTTAAATTTATACATAAATAGAACAGTAATCAGTGCAAAGTGACCATTATGTAAGTGTTAGCTAATACAATAATTATTATTGCCCAAAACATGGCCATTTCTCCAAAGTAAAAGTGTTTCAGCAATATAGATACAAGATGTTGTGATGTGAGAACTTAAAATATTGACGCCTGAGTCTTTACCTAATAGCTCTAAACTTCTGATTCTCCTAATAAAACAACAAATCCCCCGAACAAACTATCATAAAAACTAACATATCTCGTTATAAGAAAAAGAGAAAGAAAACTAGTACTTAAGGAATATCTTCCATGTGCTTATATTATCCAATTTCCACTTCAAAACAAGTCTATAAAGCTGGTATTATCACTGCATTTTATTTAATTTAAGATATCCTCAATTATAAGAAGCACCATTATTTTCTGTAATGTGCAGAAAGAAAAAACAAAGCCAGTTAAATACACCATTTTCAGATTCATGTAGATTTTGAAAATATTAAAAACTGAATAAATATCTGCCTTAGACTTTGCCAGGCATGGTGGCTCATGCCTTTAATTCCAGCACTTTGAAAAGCTGAGGCAGGAGGATCACTTAAGCTAAGGAGTTCAAAACCAGCCTGGACAACATGGTAAGACCCTGTCTCTACAAAAGAAGAAAACAAACAAAAAACAAAAAAGATTCGATGACACATAAATATATATTCATTTTACAGATTCAAAAACTGAAAGGAGGTGAAGTATGCCACATAAGTGGCAGAATTGGGATTCACACCAAGATCCTTTCATATTCCAAGCCTGTGTTCTTTCTATTAAATTATACCACTTCTCCAAGCTATTTTGGAAACCATTATTAAACAATGACAATATTCTAAATTAAAATGTTGTCTGTTTACTAAGTGTATTTTTTTTTTTTTTTTTTTTGAGATGGGGTCTCACTCTGTCACCCAGGCTGGAGTATAGTGGGTAATCTTGGCTCATTCAACTTCTGCCTCCCAGGCTCAAGCAATCCCCTTTCACCTCAGCCCCACCAGTAGCTGGGACAGGCAAGCACCACCACATCCGGATAATTTTGTTTGTTTGGTAGAGACGGGATTTTACCATGTTGCCCAAGCTGGTCTTAAACTCTTGGGCTCAAGCGATCCATCCACCTCCACCTTCCCTAAGTGCTGGGATTACAGGTGTGAGCCACCATGCCCAGCCTTAAGTGTACTTTTTTAATGTTTACATAAAGTACTTCATTAGTTAAAAGAGAAAACTTTAAAATTAAAAGAAATACTCTGAAGCCAAATTATTCTGATAAATTATGCATAATTTAGTTGACAGACTAATACTACAATTCTAAACCCTTAAAAAAAGGAACACTTTTCTAATAATCTTTTAAAATACGCAATTGTTTTTTCCTGAAACATGAATAGCTATTCATTTCAACACAGAAAAGTAAGAATACTGATTTCATCTCATCTACTATTTGTCACTAGCAGCATTAAAAAGAAAACTTTACCATGAAAATATTGTTGGCTGCTACTTAATAACATTTATAAAATTTTCAAGAAAGGGAAGCTCCATAAATGCACATTTTAAACCTGTTTCTCTTAAAATTACAAACACACAAGGCCGGGCACAGTGGCTCATGCCTTAATCCCAGTACTTTGGGAGGCCAAGGCGGGTGGATCACCTGAGGTCAGGAGTTGGAAACCAGTCTGGCCAACACAGTGAAACCCCGTCTCTACTGAAAAAAAATAATACAAAAATTAGCCGGGCATGGTGGTGGATGCCTGTAGTCCCAGCTACTTGGGAGGCTGAGGTAGGAGAATCGCTTGAAGCCGGGAGGTAGAGGTTGCAGTCAGCCAAGTTCGGGCCATTGTACTCCAGCCTGGGTGACAAACGCAAAACTTCGTTTCAAAAACAAAAAAATCACAAACACACAGCAGTATTTTGAAAAATCATTTCCTAAAACCTTTAAGAAAACAGACATTTAGCCAGGTGCAATCTCATGCCTATGATCCTAGCTAGCACTTGGAAGGCTGAGGCAGGTGGATCACCCGAGGTTAGGAGTTTGAGACCAGCCTGGCCAATATGGTGAAACCTCGTCTCTACTAAAAATACAAAAATTAGCCAGGCATGGTGGTACACACCTGTAATCCCAGCTACTAGGGAGGCTGAGGCAGGAGAATTGCTCGAACCTGGGAGGCAGAAGTTGCAGTGAGCTGAGATCACCCATGGAACTCCAGCCTCAGTGACAGAATGAGACTCCATCTCAAAAACAAACTAACGAAAAAAACCACAGACATTTATAAAAATGTCAATTGTCTAGAAACATTGCATAAATGCTTAAATTGGCATTGGAAAATAATTTTTAAATAAAAGCAATGAGAACAGATATTATACGTGCAAGTATTTTATGGAATCCTCCAAATTTCAGCTTTTCCTAACATTTTTATATATATACTACGTACACTAGCTAACACATTTTTAAAAGATGAAAAGACTGAAGAACGCTTTTTTTAACCAAACACTTTATACCACAAAAATATGAGATAATTTTTACATATAATTAATATGATCAACAGAACTCCAAAGACTCCCTCATTGTCCACCAAGTAAATGTTACTACTTTGTAACAACAAAACAAAAATGATAAA